TGGACTGTGGGAGGAATCCGGAGCACCCGGAGGAAACCCACACAGATACAGGGAGAGTGTGCAAACTCCACACAGACAGTCGCCAGAGGGTGGAATCGAACCCGGGTCCCTGGCGCTGTGAGTAGTGCTAACCACTGAGCCACCATGTCGGTGCCAACACAATTGGTAGTCCACATGAATAAATAAAAACTGAGTTAATTTCTCCTCTACTGCCCTAACCATAACTGCCCTTCAAAAGGGAATGGGCTTGACAAGTCCATAATTGGAAGGACGTACTGATATCCTGCTTTCATTTTTGCTACACAATCTACTAAAGCTCGGCTAAATGGCTCCTCAAAACCTGGTTTGTGTATTGAAGGTGCTAGTTTGATTATTTATTGAGGTTTGTCTATCACCTGACATTTCCAATAGAACTGCAATACATATTTATAAAGTTTTAGCCATGCAAAATAACTGTTTTTCATATTCCTATTTGCCCTCCGTTAGGAATGCCATGTGCTTCTGGCAATACTTCCTTACAATACCTGGGTGGGACCCCTATTTGACAAGCAACCGCACATTCTTAGTCCACAGGTCTGCAAGGATGTCTTCCACTTCATCAGCACTCCATTTTTTGTTTAAAGGAGTTTTAGTGCGAGCTGTCCGAATTAACATTTCACTCTGGATCTGCTTCTTAGCCTCAATTAGTAAAGACATGTCAAACACTTCTTTTGAACCATCTTCATTCTTAAATGGAGTTTGAGACATCCAACCATCTGCATGCAGTATTATCGTGCCTTCTGATGATTGACCTTTGTTTAGCCATTGCTTTGGTCACTATACATGATGGAAAAACACCCAGAACCCGTTTCCGCAACAACTGTTGTCTCTTATCTTCAGCAGACATTCCATGATTCTATGCAAAGCTATGACTTTCACTAATGTCAAATTATTCCCCGCAAGTAAATCCAACCACAGGCAATATTTTTAACTACCCCAACCACAATTAGTTTAGACAGCAAGTCACACTCCAGTTGGATTTTGCGCAATGGAACGGGATTATTCTCTCCATCTCTCCCATCTACTAATACTTGGGCTTTCATTGAACTCTCTGGAGGAAAAATAAATCCTACTCAAGCAAGAGTGTTTGAGTTGGACCTGTATCACTTAGTATAGTTATGGGCTTGGAGACTTCCTTTTAACAAAAAGGGTTATCTTCCCTTTCAACAAAAAGCCTTCATCTCTTTCACCTACTCTATGTACTTACCTGCATTCTCAGCAGTAACCAAGTCCAGTCTCTTAATTGTAATTAAAGCTACAATGTGATCTGTGACCTTTTCCCTCAGTTTCTTTTTTGGGCTTACTCCTATGAGCTCCAATAAATCTAATGGATTTTCCTTTCAACCTCTGAACGAATGTATCTGACCCGGTTACATCAAAAACACCTTGCCTTTCAATTTTTCCCTTCACCCTCAGTACGTTCCCTTCTGATCCAAGGAAACATTGGGATATTCTCAGCTATCCATTCCATACTTTGGTTCCATGTCTTCTTTTCATTCTCCTTTTTTCTTTAAAAAGCTCTTAAGATATGAGGGTGATGGAAAAACGTTTAGTTTTAGGGATTAGCTCAATCAGCCATAATTGCTGCCTGTCTAGTAGCTGCAACCCTTCGGTCTTCGTCATGGATTCTTACTACTAAACATAGTATTTAAATACTAAGAGAATAACCTAAGCGCTTCACAAGTGGTTACCGCTTCTGTTAGTATCCAACTCTTGAATTAATGCAAGTTTACCCTGACTGTTTCCTCCAATTCCAGAATTTCAAGCACCAACTTGTATTCAGCCAATATAATACAGTTTACAGCATCAATCCCAAGAAACTCCCAGTGAAGCATTTATATTTGTTCGCTTTTTCTCTCTCCTGCCTTTCCATTTCTGGCATTTTCACTTCCACTTCCCTTTCTTTACTGTTCTCTGCCACCTCTAGTTTTCCTACACCTTCATGTCTTAACTGTGACTATCACCTGATTCTGATGTTTCACTGCCTAGAGTACTTGTCTCTCTTGTATTTCCTCTAAACCCAGCTGTTAGTTCTCAAATTTCTTAGCTCTGCTACTACCTCCATTTTACCCACTAAATCAACCAGTTGTGTCTGAAATTTCCCTTCAGACTGCTCAAGGCAATTGTGCCACCTGCAGGATCCCCTTTATTGTTTCCAATGCCATGTCTTAAATGCACTACAGAATCTGATGTCTTCCTTCACCTTAATACCACACAAATCCTTCACTGCTTTTGGTTCAAATTTGTTCTGAACAAGTCACCAAACTTTGCTATCCCAGTGATAGCATGCTGGAAATCAAGCTCTCCTTTCCTGGAGTTGTCACAAAAATTTATGATTTGGAAAAGTATGCAGAATTAACTAACTTGATAGAGTTTTTTTTGAAGAGATGACAAAGATTAATGACAGCAGAGCAGTAGGTGTCCATATGGGCTTCAGTGAGGCATTTGACAAGGTTCCACATGATAGACTGGTGAGTAAGATTAGATCACATGGATTACAGAAGGAGCTAGCCAATTAGATATAAAACTGACTTGAAAGTAGGAGACAGAGGGTGGTAGTACAGGATTATTTATCTGACTGGACCCTGTGACCAGTGCTGAGCTATAAAGGATCGGTGCTGGGTCCACCACTTTTTTCCCCATTTCTATCAACGAGTTGGATGCGAATACAGGGGAAATCATAGTAAGGTTGCAGGTGACACCAAAATTGGCACTGTAGTGGACAGTGAAGAAGGTTACCTCAGAATACAATGGGATCTTGATCAGTTGTGCCAATGGCCTGAGGAGTGGCCGATGGTGTTTAATTAAGATAAATATGATTTGTTGCATTTTGGTAAGGGAAACCAGGGCTTGACTTAAACACTAACGGTAGGGCCCTGATGAGTATTATTGAACAAAAAGACCTCAGGGTGCAGGTGCATAGTTTCCTGAAAGTTGAGGTGCAGGTGGTCCATGCATTGAGTAAAGGAGTTGGGATGTCATGTTGCAGCTGTACAGGTCACTGGTGAGGCCACTTCTAGAAAATTGCATGCAGTTCTCGTCTCCCTATTATATGAAAGTTGTGGTGAAACTTGAAAGGGTTCAGAAAAGACTTACAAGAATGTTGTTGGGCCTGGAGGGTTTGAGCTAAACGGAGAGGCTGGATAGGCTTGGGCATTTTTTCCCTGGAGCACTGAAGGCTGAGGAGTGACCTTATAGAGGTTTATTAAAATCATAAGAGGTATAGATAGAGTGAATAGCCAAAATTTTTTCCCCCCAGGGTAGGGGAGTACGAAACTAGAGGGGATAGGTTTAAGTTTTTTTTGGGGGGGGGGGGGAGCGCGGATTTAAAAAGGGACCAGAGGAGCAACTTTTCCAGCTGCCAGAGGTGGAGGAGGAGGCAGGTACAATTAAAACATTTAAAAGACACATGCATCGGTATATAAATACAGAGGATTTAGAGGGATATGGGCTAAATGCTGGCAAATGGGAGTAGATCAGTTTAGGATAGCCAGTTGGTGCCAACAAGTTGGACCGAATGGTCTGTTTCTGTGTTGTATAACTTTAACTACAATTCCCCAATTCATTTGGCTTTCAGATTCAGGTTGACAGAAATCATGGAGCAGGTTTAAGTACTTAGCCAGAATTACTTTTTATTACAAAAAAGTAGATGTCAGCTGCAGGTAAACAATAATGAAAACTCAGCATTTAACTCTAACAGTTAAAACTCAAATCATCCTATAAAATCCCCTTTACATTTAATACATTATGCACGTGTAGTGGTTTCTGTTCACAGGATCCGCTAAGATTGTTCTTATGCTGATCAGAACCTGGTTTCTCAGTCTTCCTTCTCCAGATGTTTTCAATGGTTTGCAAGAGGCACAGCGTGGCTAGTTTACACTTATAAAAGGTCTCTGACTAATTAAAAGTCACAGCTTACAGCAACTGTTGAAGGAAAGATAAAAGTTCTTTTGTCAGGCTTAAAGTGGCTTTTACTTGAGAACAGAGAGAGAACTCCTGAGCTGGCAGAGATCAGTTGGCTTCTCCCTATCTTGTTCACAATCCTAAGCTATTCAACTCCCTGAAAACCACTCAGTTGTTGGCAGGCAGAGGGCTGCTGTCATCAATTAGTGATCATTAATAGAGACTAATCAGCAACTTGTTGCTGAATCTCCATTTGTTTACACCCATCAGCTCCGCCTCATCTTCAAGCTACGCTAACTCAAACGAGCAACTGCCAAAACTGTGCTTACAATAAAGTACCACATTACTTGCTTTTAAAAATGGCAATAATCCTGCAGCAACCCTTAGATTTAAAACAGTTCCTTCCCCATTTCAGTCCATAATCAAAATACAGAAAAATAATATGCCCTGGTCTTTCCACAAGAAAAACCTAAATTTTCAGCAATTTTCAGAGTACTGGTCTGAGGCTTTAGTCAAGTGATGTTGAATGTACATTTTTTAAAAAATGTTGAGCAAAGCTTGAATAAAATGATAGGTTTTGTGATCATATATGGACAGCATGGGGGCAAGGTGGGTTATAATGCTGGTCCAGCAGTCTAGACAAGGACAAATGGCCCAAAGACGAGTTCAAATCCCAGCTTTGCAGCTGGAAAATTTAAATTCAGTTAATGAAATAAATCTGGAATAAAAAGATGGCAAATTAACAGACTGTCATGAAAGATTTTAAGGGAATGAAATCTGCACTTTTGCAGCGTCTGGCCTTTGTGACTTCAGATTATAGGGAAGGCGGTAATATCACTGACCAAATAATTCAGGCTAATGGTGTAGGGTCAAAGAGGTCTACAGTACAGAAAAAGGTCCTTCAGCCCATTGAGCATGCCAGTCAAAAAACCATCCAACTATTCTAATCCCATTTTTCAGCACTTGACCCAGAGAGTTGTACACTTCGGCATTACAAGTGCACACCTAAATATTCTATGTTATAAGGGTTTCTGTATTTACCATTATAGGTAATAAATTCAACATTCCCATCCCCTTGGAGTGAAAAGAGTTTTGTTTTCACATCTACTCAAAACCTCATGCCCCTTACCTGAAATCTCTCTCTTCTGGCCATTGATCCCCTCCATCATTGATCCCTTTCTGTCTACCATGTCTATGTCCCCCGTTTTATACATCTCAATCATGTCCCTTCTTAATCTCCTCTGCTCCAAGGAAAACAATCCAGTTTGTCCAATCACTCTTCTTAATGAAACACTCCAGTCCAGGAAGTGTCTTAGTAAATCTCCTCTGCACCTTTTTCCAATGTGATCACATCCCTTCCATATTGTGGATCCTAGAACTGCAAACAATACTCCAGCTGTGGTCCAATCAACCCTTATACAATTTCAGCATAACACTCTGCTCCTGAACTCCATGCCTTGCCTAATAAAAGCAACTATCGCATATATCTTCTCAACCACCTGTGGGGACATGGGTTAGAATTTCAACGTTGATATTCAACAAAAATCTGGGGGAAGAAACAAACTATTCTAATGGTATCCATGCTGCTGGTCAGAAAAAAACCATCTAGCTCATTAGTCCCCTTTAGTGAGGGATCTGCCATCTTACCTTGTCTGGACCAAGTGTGAGGCCAGAGCAATGTGATTCACTCTTAACTGCTAAGTAAGCCAATTATGGATGGGCAATAAATGCTGGCCTAACTAGCAAAGCTCACATTCAATGAAGGAATTAAAAAAGATGCAGAGCAGCATGGCTGACCCTTAATGCCAAATGAGCCATCCCTGTTGTATCAGAAAGCATTTTGCCAGTGACACTCTGATCCCAAGAACGAATAAACAACGTACATATACAAACATACCTTTTCTCCACTGGAGTAAAAGAAGTACCGTAATCGGACGATATTACAATGATCCAGTTTTCGCATTATCTGCAGCTCACGATTCTGTGGAACAAAAAAATAAGGAACTGTTTATTTGCATAGTTAACACTCACAATTGGGTGCTAGTTAATAGGCATGAGAACAACACTCCTTAAAATATGACAGATTTAAGCTACACAAACGTCCCACCTGATTGAACTTGCTCCAATTACTTATCACTGATAAGTTGCCTTTATATGGAAACAGACACAGAATACATATGTTAACATTGTCAGAAATGACCAAAAGCTGGCCAACACAGCAAATGTGGTGGTTTCAAACAGTACAGTGAGAAGCAGGGTATTGCTGAGGGAGACTAAGAAATTAAGGCCCTGGAAGTTATAAGTGTGGCCCTGATACAGCAATGGATTAGAGACAGATAGTGCATGCATAACAGGCTGGAATCCAAGGTTTCAGGAATTGTGGGTGGTGGTGCTTTTTTTTTTGGGGGGGGGGGGGGGGGGGTTTAGGAAAATAGGGAGATGATGCAAATCTACAGGAGTTGGCAGAGGTAGGATTCTGTAAAGTCATCAATAGATTTGAAGATGACAAGCTTAAATTTAAATGTGTTGGGACAAGCAGCCAGTGTAGATCAGCAAATATAGGAGTGAACATTTTAGAGTCAGAGTCCTACAGCACTTCAGTCCAATTTGTCCATGCTGACCAGGTTTCCCAAACTAGTCTCATTTGCCGGTGCATGGCCAATATCCCTTTCATTTCATGCACTTATCCAAATGTCTTTTAAATGTTGTTACTCTACCTGCATCTACCACTTCCTCAGGCAGTTCATTCCACATACAAACCACCCTATGTGAAAAAGTTGCCCCTCACATTCCTTTTAAATCTTTCTCCTCTCACATTAAACATATGACCTCTTGTTTTGAACTCCCCCCATCCTAGGGATTCATCTCATCAAAACCCCTCATGATTTTAAGCCTCTAAAGGTGATCCTCAATTTTCTATGCTCCAGCCTCTCCTTATAACTCAAATCCTCCACTCCCAATAACATCTTTGTAAATCTTTTCTGCACCCTCTCCAATTTAATAATATCCTTCCTAAAGCAGGGTAGCCAGAACTAAACAGTATTCCTAAAGCACCAATGTCTTGTACAACTGCAACATGATGTCCCAATCTTATACTCAATGGTCTGAGCAATGAAGGCAAGCGTGCAAAACATCATCTTCACTACCCTGTACACCAGTGATGCAACTTTCAAGGAATTATGTATCTGAAACTCTAGGTTTCTCTGTTCGACAACACTCCCCATTAAATGTGCAAGTCCTGCTCTCGTTTGCTTTACCAAATGCAACACCTCACATTTATCTAAATTAAACTCTGCCTGCCACTCCTCAGCCCATTCACCCACTTGATCAAGATTCTGTTGTACTCTTTGATAACTTTTTTCCCCACTATCCACTACACCACCAACTATGGTCTAAATTTACAACTCAGCAACCACATTTCCTACATTCTCATCCAAATTGTTTGAAGAGTGGGATGGGGTAGAGTCCAGACGTGACAAAATCATGGACAAGACTGCAGCAGAGATGGACTGAGAAAAGTGGAGAAAAGGCAGTTGTACTTTGGACATTACACTACGCTTTGGTACTGCTCAACACACCCACAACCAAGCAGCCTTCATACCTGCCATGATCTGGAGCGTGTCTTTACTTGTCCAATTTCAGCATAACAAGAGCATGGCCCAATGATTAAACTGAACAGGCTCGTTACTAAATTTCAGAATACAGCAATGAATCATGGCCTGCCACTTGATACTCCTCTTTCTGGCAGATTGAATACTCCCAGACCAAAACTCAGACTGTAAATTATCAGGCCACTTTGACAGAAATCAGTTACATATAACAGTAATTTTCTTCCATCATCCATTCTTCTCAATTTCAAAATAATGCTTTTCCTATCGTTTTTCCCAAATTACAGTAAGGCACTGAGATAATGTGTGTGCGGGGGGAGGGAGGAGGAGAGAGAGAGAGAGAGAGAGAGAGAGAGAGAGACAGAGAGAGAGAGAGAGAGAGAGAGAGAGAGAGAAAAGAAATAATAAATATTAAAAAAAAACACCACAAATAAAGCAGTAAGGATCACCATTTCAAAATATAAAATTAGTATTGGATGGTATGTTTTCTGAATGCTTTGCATATTCATTTAAAGATGGAGACATTGCCAACTATAGATGGATTATAATAGACATTTCAATATAGCAACGGCAAAAGCGCCACACCCCATGTTTGAATATGACAGAGAACTTAACATTCCTGGTTACTATGCTACAGATATTCTGATGACCACATGATTGTCGTTCCCCTCCAGATGGGAGTTTCGCATGAGGACATTGCAGAATCTCCGTTACAGGAGACTCCAAAATGAACTGCCTGGGCAACTGAAATGCTCCAAAAGTCTTCATTTAAGGTGGGGAATTTGAAGGATTTCAATTAGAATAAAAAAAAAACTAGTACTTAGGAAAACTTAAGATTCTTAAACACAGCCGAACTCCCTAGTAATTATTAGGGATTCTACCCAACTGCCACCCTCCACTTCCCCACCTTAAGCTCACACTTACCTTATATACTTAACATTTGACAGCAGCTACATGAGAGGCATGCGTGTGACAACGAAGGTAATTCAATTCAATTCAAGATTCTGGACTATGAAAATCAGAATACAGAAGTTGACTGCTATGAAAATGGAGACATGGTATACATGGTCAGACAACATCTGGAATACTGTGAGCAGTTTTGGATCCTGTATCTAAAGTTGGATATGCTGGCTTTGGAGGGGGTCCAGAGGTAAGTTAAGAACCCTCCCTCCCACCAAAACCCTCTATCTTCTACCTTCAAACCAGTTCTGTATCCAACTGGCTAATTCTCCCTTTATTCTATGTGATCTAACCTTACCAACCAACCAGTCTACAATGAGGAATCTTGTCAAACACCTGAATGAAGTCCATTTAGATTATGTCAACACAGTGTGGAGCTAGAGGAACACAACAAGTCATGCAGCATCAGAGGAGTAGGAACGTTGACATTTTGGATCAGGACGCTTCTTCAGAACTTGACCCGAAATGTCAACTTTCCTGCTCCTCTGATGCTGCCCGGCCTGCTGTGTTCATCCAGCTCCACACTGTGGAGTCTCCGACGCCAGCATCTACAGTTCTTGGTATCTTCCACATGGATCACACCCACTGCTCTACCCTCATCAATCCTCTTTGTTACTTCTTCTAAAAAAAACTCAATCAAGTTTGAGAGACACGATATCCCAGGCACAAAGCCATGTTGACTATCCCTATCAGTCCTTGCCTTTCCAAACATGTAAATTCTGTCCTTCCAGATTCCCTCCAACAATTTGCCCACCACTGATATCAGGTTCACTGGTCTATGATTCCCTGGCTTTTCCTTACCACCTTTCTTAAATAGTGGCACCACGTTGGACAACTTCCAGTTTTCTGGCAATGCACCTGTGGCTATCGATGATACAAATATCGCAGGTGGCCCAGCAATCTCGTCCCTAGCTTCCCACAGAGTTCTAGCGTACACCTGATCAAGTCCCAGGGATTTACCCAGCCTTACATGTTTTAAGACATCCAGCACCTCTTTCGCTGTAATATGGATATTTTTCAAGATGTCGATACTTATTTCCCCACAGTCTACATTCTCCATATCCTTCTCAAGAGTAAACACGGATGCAAAATACTCGTTTAGTGTCTCCACCATCTCCTGCAGCTACACACATAGGGCCCCTTAAAGATCAGCGAGGTTGCCTATTCTCTCCTTAGTTACCCTTTTGACCTTCATGTATTTGTAGAATCCCTTTGGCTTCTCCTTAACCCTATTTGCTAAGCCTGTCTCATGTCCCTTTTTACCCTCCTGATTTCCCTCTCAACTATACTCCTACTGTCTTTATACTCCAAGGGTTCATTCAATCTCTGCTGTCTATACCTGACCCTTGCTTTCTCCTCATTCTTGGCCAAAACCTCAATTTCTCTAGTCATCCAGCATTCCCTATACCTACCAGCCTTGCCCTTCACCCTAACAGAAAATGTCCTATCTCTGGACTCACGTTCTCATTTTTGAAGGCTTCCCATTTTCTAGTTGTCCCTTCACCTGCAAACATCCTCCCCCCCACCCCCAATCAACTTTTGGATGTTCTTGCGTAATGCTGTCAAAATTGGCCTTCCTCCAGGTTAGAGTTTTAAATTTCAGATCTGGTCTATCCTTTCCCATCACTATTTTAAAACTAATAAAATTATGGTCACTGACCCCAAAGTGCTCCCCCACTGACATCCCAGTCACCTGCCCTGCCTTACTTCCCAAGAGTAGGTCACGGTTAGCATCTTCTCTAATAGGTACTTCTGCATTCTGGATCAAAATATTTTCTTGTCCACACTTAAATTCTTCTCCATCCAAGCCCTTGACACTATGGCAGTCCCCAGTCTATGTTTTGAAAGTTAAAATCCCCTACCATACCACCCTATTATTCTTACAGATGACAGATTCCTTACAAATTTGTTTCTCAAGTTCCCACTGACTCTTTTTTTTGGGGTGGGGGAGGGGAAGAGAGAGAGAGAGAGAGGCGGGGAGAGGGAGAGAAGGAGGAGGAGGAGGAGTGTGGTGGTGCCTACAGTACAATCGCAATAAGGCAATCATCCATTTCTTATTTTTCAGTTCCACCCAAATAACTTCCATGGAGGCATTTCCAGGAATATCCTCCCCAGGTACAGCTGTAATGTTATCCCTAATCAAAAACACTACTCCCCCTTCTCTCTTGCCCCCCTTTCTACATCTAAATCTTGGAACATTAAGCTGCCAGTCCTGTCCTGAGCCATGTCTCTAATTGCTATGATATCCCAATCCCACGTTCTCAACCATGCCCCGAGTTCATCTGCCTTACCTGTTGGGCCTCTTGCCTTGAAATAAATGCAGTTTAATTTATCAGTCCTACCTTGTTCTCTGCTTTGTTCCTGACTGCCTTGCTTGCTCCTTCTCACAACTGTACCCTTTTCAGACTAATCT